TACCGTCCAACTTTGCAATATACCCCTACCGTATACCGTCCAACTTTGCAATATACCCCTACCGTGTACCGTCCAACTTTGCAATATACCCCTACCGTGTACCGTCCAACTTTGCAACATACCCCTACCGTGTACCATCCAACTTTGCAATATACCCCTACCGTGTACCGTCCAACTTTGCAAATTGCGCCCGTACTTGCCAACCTTTCCAAGGCCCCATTGCCAATGGCCAGGCCCAAACGGCGAGGTCCAGATTGCAAAATTTGTGCATATGCCTGGCAGGGCCATTATACAAAGAATTCGGCCCAAAAAGGCTATTCTCCTCTACCCACATCTTTGAGGGACATTTTTGAATATATCGCAACTTACGGGGGTATTTTACAACTTATCCCCAGCCCCCCCCCCCCCCCCCCCCCCTCCCCCCCGAAAAAAGAAGAACAGAACAACTTCAGGATTTAAGATTGGAAAAAACTCTGGATTCTTTGTTCTGGACCATTGACTACGAAGTTGATGATACATGGCCGAAAAAGAAAACCAAAATAAAACGAAAATAAAAAGGAAAAAAACGAAAAAAAAACACGAGCCGCGGGACTAAGTGGGACCTCGCTCCAGGTGCCTTGATCGATCAATCCCCCAACAATCCAATAGGCCAATCAGCCGACGTGGAGCAAAACTGACGTAATCACCCACGTGGACCCAAACCAATCAGCCCACGTGGAGCGAACGCTCAATCCTCTACTCTCTTCGTCCAATCGTCTACTACCTTCCTCCAACAATCTATCAATCACCTCTTCAATCACTCAACCAATCAAGTAACCAATCAAGTAACCAATCAAGTAACCAATCAAGTAACCAATCAACCACGGACCTAGATCAGTCAGTCTGCGCGATCAATCTCTCTGTGTGCATGAATCAATCAATCAATCAATCAATCAATCAACTTCCTTGATTGGAATCCATTCCATCAATCTACCAATCAACCAATCAACGAACCAATCAGTCACCCAGCCAGCAAATCAATCAACCAACCAACCAACCAACCAATCAATCATTGATGGTCTTGTTCCCTCTTAAGTGTTTTCCTATCTGTGGCATCGAGGTATCGCTTCCGCAGGCGGATCGAATCAATCAACCAACGAATCAACGAACCAATCAATCAGCCATCCAACCAATCAACGAACCAATCAATTAGCCATTCCAACCAACCAACGAACCAATCAATCAGCCATTCCAACCAATCAACGAACCAATCAATCAGCCATCCAACCAATCAACGAACCAATCAATCAGCCATTCCAACCAATCAACGAACCAATCAATCAGCCAGCCAGCTAACCAATCAACCAACCAACCAATCAATCATTGGTGGCCTTGTTCCTTCTAAGTGTTTTCCTATCTGTGGCATTGAGGTATCGTTTCCGCAGGCGAATGGATTTCGGTGTGACCTCGATCAGTTCGTCGGGACCGACATATCCAATCGCTTCTTCGAGAAAAATCTGACGTGGCGGCGACAGCCGCACGTTCTCATCATTTCCCGCCGATCTGACGTTTGAAAGATGCTTCGTTCTCACTGGATTGACCTCAAGATCACCCTCTCTAGAGTGCTCTCCGATGATCATTCCATCATAGCACTCCGCTTGCGGCTCCACAAACAGAATGCCTCTGGCCTCCAGAGACATCAACGCGTGCGCAGTGATTGCCCCCGATGTCATCGCCACCAACGCCCCCTTTCGCACCCTATCTAACGGTCCTCTCTTCGGTTCATAACCCAGGAACGATCGATGAATCATCCCTGTGCCACGTGTCTCTGTATTGAACACTGATCTGTAGCCAATCAATCCCCGACTGGGGCAGGTGAAACTTAGACGAGTCTTCCCCGTGCCTAGCGCATTGGGTACCATCTCCGTCAGATCGCCGCGGCGCAACGATATCCCCTCAATGACAGCGCCGACGTACTCATCGTCGACCTCGATCATCACCTCCTCGATGGGTTCCAACGTGGCGCCAGTGACCTCGTCCTTCCTGTAGAGAACTTTTGGCGGCGAGACGGAGAGCTCGAATCCTTCCCGCCGCATATTCTCGATCAACACGCCGAGCTGTAGCTCGCCGCGGCCGCACACGTGGAAGGCATCGTTGCCACGTGTCGGCTCCACAGTGATGGAGACGTTGGTCTCGGCCTCGGCGCGCAGTCTCTCGCCGATCTTCGAGCCCGTCAGCAACGACCCATCTTTTCCCGCCAAAGGCGAATCGTTTACCGCGAAACTCATCATGATCGTGGGAGGATCAATGGGCGTGGCGGGAAGCGGAGAGCTCGCGAGAGGGCTGGCTATGGTGTCTGTCACCCCAGCGTCGGCTATGCCGGCGATGGACACGATATCTCCCGCGCTGGCCGTCTGGACGACGGTTCGGGTCGTGCCATGTGTCTTGAAAATCTTTGTCACTTGTCCCCCTCCTCCTCCTCCTCCGCCGCCATTTCCCGCCAAATTCTCCCCGCCCCCCTCCTCCTCCTGCTCAACTCCGCCGCCGCCGCCGTCCGCTGCGCGCCGTTGCCGCAGAACGACGACGCGATCGCCGACGCGCACCGTGCCGTCGCTGATTCGACCCGTCAGGATCCGACCGACGTAGGGATCCCGATCGATCATCGACACGAGGAACCGGAACGGAGCGTCGGGATCTCCCGTCGGCTCCGGCACGTGCTCTACTACGGCATCGAGAAGGGCATCCATGCCGTCGACGGGAGATCCCGACTCTCCACTCTTGTTCTTGTTGTCCAAAGACGACGACGCAGAAGACGAAGAAGATGCGCCGCCTCCGCCGCCACGTGGCAGCAGCTCTTTGCTCGCCCATCCATCCCTCGCTGACGCGTAGAGCAAGGGGAAATCCAGTTGTTCATCGGTTGCATCCAACGACGCAAACAGGTCGAAGATTTCGTTCTCCACCGCCGTGCACCTCTCTCTAGTGACCGTTGGTCGATCAGCCTTATTAAGCACAACGAGGGGGCGAAGGTTCTTTCTCAGCGCCTTGCCAAGAACGAATTTCGTCTGTGCGAGAGGACCTTCGGTTGCGTCGACTAGCAGCACGACGCCATCCACCATATCCAGAACTCTCTCGACCTGTGCATGTCGTCGTACGTAGAGTAGAGGGGAGCAGGCATCGAGGGGAGTAGGCATCGCAGGTGAAGGGTTCAAATTAAAAAAAAAAAAAAAAAAAAA